GTTCATTCCGGTCGCGCATAGACCATGAGTCTGCTGTAAGATTGTACGGAGTGCGTTCTAGATGGAGAGGACGTGGTCGCCGAGTACACCTACCACCTACGCTACTGAGATCATTCCAAGATTCGTATGAAGACGAGGCGGTAGGGTCGGTAGTTGAGTCGACTCGTGGAATTTCTTTGCCCGTGAGTATGAACAGCGGTGGTGTGTGGCGCCACCGACAGTGCTGGCAGCCAAGTCACTTAGAACGTTGCCGAGGAATCAAAGCCGACCAGATGACCGACTCAATGTGGACTAGTAGTAGAAGTCGTAAGCTGAGCGCAAGGGTCGGGACGAGGACTAGGGCTGTATATTGAGCAAGTGAGCCCCTTACCGTGTTGACAGTTCTGGCGAATTTCTGCGACAGTATCTCTCTGCGCGGTATCTTGACTGTATCTTGACACACAACTCGACAGATGTCATCGTACATTCGGAAGCACGGAGCCTATCTTATGGGTACCTTCCGAATCCACTGTACCCCATACCAAGCCTGTAGGAGCCGTGTAGGAAGCTGGGCATCCCAAGACACTAGGCATCTCCCGTGGCTGCAGGAAACGTTCCCAAGACGGATTTTAGCATGGTTCTGGCGCTTAAATGCCCCGTGGGGAAGTAATATAGTTGTCGGCAGTCGCGTGGTTCTGACGATATGTGGCGTCTTGCCTAGAGACGGAATATTCAACGCCGCCCGTTGCGTTCATACTGACACTCAGTTGTAGTGTGGGTAGGCTAACCTGACAAGTCTGTTGAGACTCCTCGCAAAGCAGATATCGAGATTAGCTCCACGGTGTATTCGCTGTCCCACGAGATGGCAAAGTGTCCATATTGGCCTAGGGTTTGTGTGTACGGGATGCAAGGACAAGGAATATTTAGCCGTTGCGAGTTTGCGCAGGCACACGGACGAGCTGGTCGGCTGAGAATACTGCACATTCTGGCTAAGACGTTGATCGTGCAGTACATGTGGGAGGCATGATTGATATGAGGAAGGAAAGCAAGCTGTTGTCTGAGTTGTAGACGAAGCGAGTGCTGACTCAGCCACTTCCCTTTTCGGAATGTGTACGCTGGGGAAGTAGCGACTCTGCACATTCCTCGTTTGCCACTTCTGACGCCGCAAGCTTTCATTTCTTGAGACTGTTGTTTGGTCGGAACGGACATCATGTTGTATTGGAAAGGTCGTTGTATCATTAGCAGATGTATAATGGTTTGGCATTACAGGCATCGCATACCCATCTATTTAGCCTCATGATGAGCCCCTCTCACTGGAATTCGAAACTGCCGGTAACAATTACACTGTGTTGGAAAGATGGCAGGATCGCAGAAGGTGCTACTACCGCCTAAATCCTGCAGCTCCACTAACAACGACGGAAAGTGCTCCTCTAGTACCCCAGCCTTATCCCTGGATGAGTTGAGGTCCCTCAAACTCAGATGTCTGAGTACTGGCTATATGGGTGAAGCCGGGGTTTGTGAAGCCATACATGTCTTCATCAATGATGAAATGTGCCCAGGACCGTAAACGCAATGTGTTTCGAAAATGTAGTAGTTGAAGGGCCGTATACTGCAAATCCGTCAGTTGAAGAACCGCAGTGGAAGCAGATGTACGTACTCTCATGTAACACTCAATATATATGTCCACTCAGGCAAATTGCTCTTGCCATACGAACACTCGCACGCGCGTCTGCGCGACTCCGCTGAGTACCCCGCGCGTGTCCTGTGTATCGCATCCGTGTCGGGAACGCCTCAAAGATAGACGCCATCGTCACCCCCAGGCGCCGGCGCATCACCATTCCTCTGTTCTTCAGCCGTGGCACCATTCGTCGCCGGAGCCACACTGCCGTTCGTCGCAGCACCATCAACCTTCTCCTCTTCGCGCGGCCTCCACGGCAGACCCCTTACATCCTTGACCTCATTCTTGATCGCCTCCCTCCGCTCCTCGAACCTCTTCATGACCTGCTTGTTCTCCATCAGCGCCTCGTAGCAGTCGCGGTCGTCGTTTTCGCGCGCAAACTCTTCGAGCTGCTTGTTGCTCGATTCGAGGTGTGTGAGTTGGTTCGTGAGCTCAGAGTACTTGGCGTAGAGCGATTCGACGGAGAGGTCTTCGAGGGCTTTGGAGAAGCGCGTGAAGGTTATGGGAGCGGCGTCGGCGGACATGGCGGGAGGTGGTTCGAGAGTAGCGCGTAGTCTTAGGGTCTATTGGGTTCGCAGCAGTAGCCGGGACGTCAGGTGAACTGTGAAGTTGGGGTGTATAAAGTTTTGTGAGCAAGGTTGAGGCGTGAGTCTGTGTGGAACATGACCGCATCTGGTGGGGCAAAAGAACGGAGCTACCCCGCCAGACGCTGAGCTGTTGCCTGAGCCCACTGAATCACCCACCGCTCTTGTGAACGGTTGTCTGGAAGCTGTTCATGTTTTTTCTGCTGGATCGGCAGTATATAAAGTCTCTACCTTGTCAAGATTGCATCAATCAGTAAAATACATGATTTTCCGGCACTTTGGCGTACGAGCTCCTCCAGTCCCCCTGCCATCAACGCTTGCTAATCCAAATTCTAGGGAGTGGTTAACGCGCTGGCCTGCTAGTCCTTCACCGGAAAGTTAGCCAGTTCCTTCGGGAGCGTGTGTTCGAATCACACAGGTGTCGCATCAAACCGATTTTTTTGCCCATGGAGAGGACATCCCGCAAGGAAAACATCTCTTTTTTGTCTGCAAGATCCTGATAATAGTAATTAAGCCCTACGACACATTCCAGGTCTGTTCGGTGTTGAGAACTAGCTTTTTGCATCTCTCCTGGACGTGTATTCTGCTAGCCCTACCCTAGTACACAGAACTCGATATTTCAGCACGTGTATTCTAGTAGAATGTGATACGTGTCCATTGCTTTGATACATACTTCCACTATCTTCCAGGATTCATACCAGGCATCAGATCCGGCTTATCGAGCACCATACCCCGGAGCAGCACCAACTGCCTCAACCCCTCCCAATCATCACCCTCCTCATCACCCCGTCTCCACACCTCCTTAAAACCCCATGCGCATGCAATACGATCCAATGCCGCCCGCTCATCTTCCCTTATGTATCGATCCAGCAGCGGGACACCAGGCCTCCAGACCACTCGGTCGTGGTGATCGTTGTATGTTGTAAGAGCGACGAATCCGAGCGTGCCGGTGCACAAGACATACGTGCTCATGCCCATGAAGGCGTAGAGCTTGAAGGTCCACGGGTCGATGAAGCCGCTGTAGACGGAGAGTTCCTGGGCGATCATGTAGAGAGCGAGTGGGGTGAGGCCGACGAGTACCCCCGGTAAGCCCATCTTTGTGAGTATGCGATGCCGCCGCCATGCAGGAGCGCGGTAGGTGTGGTCGACGACATCTAGGGCCAGTGCCAAGTCTTTCGCATCAATGGCGGCCGTGAGCGCTTCGTCAGCGAGATCAGCTGGAATGACCTGCTTAGCCGACTTGGGCGAGGGCTTGGAGAACTTGGGTGGTGACGAGCCTTCCACTGGGACTGGTTTGTTGGCGTAGAGGTAAAGTGCCTCGGGAATAGTCTTCGGGCGGGCAAGTAGTCGCTGCAGGTGGATGTATATAGCGAGGACGTTCGGTGATAGGAAGACTTTCTCGTGCTTGAGGAGACGCTCAGCGAGCTTCGAAAGATACGACGGCGAGGGCAGGGCATCCAGTCCCAGCATTTTCGAACTCTTTCTTTTCGCCGTCTCTGCCGTCTCATCCCCGTCCAGTCCAGAGAGTATGGCGCCCGCTGAGCTCTGCCTTATTGCCGCCTTCTGTAGTTGAGGCTGGCGTGCGCGTATGGCAATGGCTTCTTGCGCAATGCTGTCCAGTCCTTCAAACGCCTCCATTATAACGTGCTCCTTCTCGACCTTGGGTGAATTGAATATTTCCTGTATTCGCGCCTCCACTTGGGCAAGGTGACTCTTCAACGCCGCAATTCTGTCCGACGTATGTAGGCCGCCATCGTCGCGCGTGTCAATCGCTGCTGCCGTCCGAGGTGTTGTCGCGATGCCTCGTACCGATATACGGGGTGTCAGAGTCGTGGTTCGCGCGTTTTGCCGCCGTATCGAGGGTGTTCGGAGTGAGGATGCGGAGAGGAATGCGCGGCGGCTTGCAGGCTTCTGCAGTATATAGTCACACAACTGACATATTGGCCGCGACTGTGCGCGCATTGGCAGATTGCCAGGCTTCATGGCGCTGGTGGTGATATCGTGGGATGCGATCACCAAGCCGTCTGCAGGGCACGTTGCTTAGGTGTTTGGTGGGAAGCGATTAAAGTTGCTTATCGATAGGACCGCGACTGGAGGTTGTACACTCAAGTCCTAGCAACATCACGTAGCCTCCACGCTTAATTGGCAGCTGCAAGCAACTTCACTTCATTAGAAATAACTATCCCAAGGGATGATCCGCTGTCCTGAACGCGGAATGAGCCCTGGGAATCACGGGGCGTCGAGACGAGGCAACGTCCACCTGTACCCGAGGCCTACAGCTATTATCCAGAGCTCCGGTCACGATAGGCGACATCCAGGGACGTGTACGAATGAAAAGGGAGCCTTGTACCCTTGCAGTCGATATTTACTGCGGATGAACGCCTTTTGATGAGTCACCCGCAGGCGTGGCTAACGAATCGTACCTCGCCTCGTAACGACTGCCCTTGCCTCTACATCATCTGCGCAACCGTCTCACCAACGTCTTTGGGTTTATGCGTCATTACATCCTAGATGCGCCAACAATGTATCAGCAACTCGAGCGAGCGCGGGAGTGCGCTGAACGTGATCTAAAGCAGTAAGTACTGCGACAGCCGTCAGCTTCCAAAATTAATTACAGCCATAGAGCCAGCCTCAACTGCAAACTTCACCTCCGGAATACCGCATCATCCGAGGATGGCGTGGATGAGAGGCTGCGTCGCTATGACCACTTGACAGATGTTTTACACGCAGCCATTATTCGCTACACGAATGCTGCAAACATGGACGTCGTCGCACGTATTTTGACATTACCACGAGAGCTGCGGGACAACATCTACATGCAGTTATGGCAACCGGACGAAAAACACGATCCGACTCGCAGTGTAATCTGTTGGTGGGAACTGTTCCATGAGCCTTGGTTCAGCATAGACCACGATCCCGACACACCAGCAGGGTTATCAATGCTGTACATGAACCTTCGACCGCAAGTAATTGCCTATGTACGAACTGCATGTGAGACAAACACTGACTTCGTACACCCATCTTTAGGCCTCATTTCATCGACAAGACTTTCGTAGGACCCGTGTTCGCTAAAGAGGCCCTCAAGCTATTCCAGGATATCGTCGGCAAAGACCTGCGCCCAGTTGACGACAAGGATCCCGTAGCTGAATGCCTATTGCTCGACACTTCCGTGGCGGACTTCGTGAGGAGAGACGCATTTGGTGTTGGATTTACCATGGAAGAGCTGGCAAGGAATTTGGATCTGCGTGTGACCTTCCAGTGTGACGCGCTGACTGACAGCGAATTCTCCGAGATTCAGGAGAGCAAGACACACGATCAAGGCTCGCGCACGGCGGATGCAACGGCTTATACACGAGAAGACTATCTTTCAGAGATCAATGACGGCGTCACGGCTTTGCTGGACATTTCACACACTGAACGTGTTACTACTCACAACGAACACCGTCGCCACATGCAGACCCGAGCCAGAGTTGTTACCTTGGCTATACGACAAGAAGAAGACTTGGGCCCGGGCTGGGATCATGGTTCGCTGTTCCTGAAACTTGTCGCTCGCACCTACCATGGGCTGAGAGCCAAAGGCTTCGTAGTCAAAGTCGAGTATCACAGCGAAGAGATCGATCTCAAGGTATTGTTTGAGGATGACGTCTGGACTTGGACGGAAGATGAATGGGAAATCAACCTCTTTAGAAAGAACATGATATCATACGTACAAACGTCCGGCAATTCACCCCAGAGGTACGTTTGGGCACAACTCAGGGACCATCTGTTTCGACACACAAACCAAGACGATCTCACCGCATGATTGTACGACTGCGTGCGATGAATATAGAGGCATCAGGTGTGCATCGAAAGCTCGGGATAGACTTGGAAAAGGGCCATTTCGCAGGTCTGACATACGCCTGGCCAGCCAAGAATGGACCCGCCACGTTGATGCCGACGCATGCCAGGTATTTTTGATTCAGTTCGTCAGCTATTCTGCTTGGATGGTGAGTCCGCATCCATCCCCGGCTCCTGCATTTCGCCCGACAAATCTCCACTTCCGCCCACACTACCTCCATCAACCTCGCTGCTCACACTACCCCTACTTTCTCCAAACGTCGCAGCAAACTGCACAAGCATATTACCATGCTTCACGCTATCAACAATGTCTCTCGGATCCACACCAGCTCTGATTCTCGCCAGGATCTCACTCGCTTCCTCATCCGGCAGCGACTTGAGCATCTCGAACAACTCTTCCAGGTCTTGATGTTTACGTTTCGACTGAGTGTTCTCTGTTTCCGTGTACTGGCACACGGAATCGCGGGACGTGCATTCACTGCAACTGGGACGGTCGCCGTTGCACTATGGGTTCAAAAGATCAGAAGGCTACTTTGCTGATGTTGCTTTATATACATGCAATGTACTTGGTCTGTCGGTACCTTGGTTTTACGACTTCTGCAGGCTGCACAAGCTAGAGAAACGCGAGCTCGCTTCGGTTGCGATGGTGGAGCCTCGACTCTCGGTGAGGCTGCAGGGAGGAGAGGGCGTAGAGGGCGTGCCGCAGCACTGTCGCCGGAAATAGCTGGACTGGTCTGTTGCGGTTGCATTACGCACGAGACGGCGCCTAACAGGTGTTGCTTCCTTCTTCTGCTTAGCAGAAATCTGCAAGCAATCAGCCAGTCCAAGGGAAGGGGTGGCTTCAAGACAGATTCCTACGCGTGCATAAGGAAGGGAGGATAGCATACAAACAGTCGGGGGCAAAAAAGGTGTGAAGAATTGAGAAGTGAAAGGGAACCGGAGAGTGCACAGAAAGGCACACACCATTCCAAAGGGACATTCGGAAATTGGATTGACTGTACTTGTACAACTAAAGCCAACTTGGTTTATCAGAAAACAATACGACTCACCCTCGCAAAACATCAATATTACCCACTCGCTCCGCCCGCTTGCGGACCAAACGTCTTCTCGATTCGAATTCCTCAATCTTGCCACAGCTCTTGCGATCCCTCACGGATATGTAAGAACGTCGCTAACCACGCTATCCGCCGATCGCGTGGCCTGTAGCGTTGCCTTTCGCCACCGGGTCATGGACCCTGCATACGCATTGTTGCTGATGAACTAAACCCGAAGAGTTTATTATGGGGGTTTCACTTCTTGGTCGCCTCAAATGCGATTGTTGGGATGGGGTAGTTCCTGGTTATGGGTTTTTCGGTAATGTTAGCTGGTAGTTTGGCGTGTGGGCAGTGCGGTCCGTGGAAATGGGTCGGGGTTGATTTGCCCGATGTCAGTTGTATTGGCCGGTAGGTGTGGGTGCGTGTGCCGCAGTGGGGTTTTGAACTACCAGGTACTGCGACTACTACTCATGGTGTTGTGGTATATCGCCGATTGTAAGTAATCTTTGCGACCTTCTGGTACTGGCGAGGGTGTGTTGGCGCTGATGCTAGGTTATAAGCGCCGGTTATAGGCATTTGCTTCTGCCTTGCACTGCCTAGTCATGACATGAGTTTTCATGGGACTTGAGACACTACACCTATATCCGCAGTTCGTTCTAGCTTTCTGCTAGACTAATCTTACACCCTTCTCGGATGACAGGCTTGGTTCGGATCGGAAGCTGCTGATCTGCAAGACCGAAACCACAGCTCGCGAGATTTACCTACCTAGTTGTTGTTCCCGCCGCCAGTGACACAAACAACGAGAAGGATGCATGCACAATAGATTGAAACCGGTATCATCTAGACAAGAAGACTCCAAGCTGCAAGCACCAACAATTCCAGATCCACTACAACAAAGTCTCTCACCAGCATAATCGTACCAGCAACACCCCTTTCAATCACCACCTGCATCATGCTCTGCCCACCACATTGGCCACACCCACGGAATCCGAATCCGAACCAATCCCCTGCGCTGATCCACACCCATCTCAAACAGGTAATCCAATTGCGTCAAAGAAAAAAGGTGAACCCATCCCACACCAGCGAATTGTTCCGCGGAGCATCGCCCCAAATCGCGATCACTGTCCTACTCCCAAGACCTCAATCACACTACGCGAGGATGCCGCAATCGGTTCGGGAGACACGTTGGGCCAATGAGGAGCTAAGATTGCGCCGGAACGACGCCCTAGTGGAGCGCGGAGGTTCGTGCCGCTCTTCTCTCACAGACCCAAGGCGAGGGGAGCTAGGGCCAGGGTGGAGTTTGCAGAAGTAGAATGTGGGGACTGTTGTGGCCTGTTTGTGGGCCGATGGTTCATGGGTTTCTCGATGTGTTTGTCTTCGTAGCGTGATGTCTGCGATGGCGAATGCCGTGAATTGGACGGAGGCCGGCTTGGCTGCTTGACGAAGCTGGCCGCCTTGTCACCGTTGGGGTGGTACTGATTATTTGTAAGCGAGGATATCGTCGATTGTGGCCATGCTTGTGGTTTGGAAACCTTGATGAATAGCAATACTAGAAGGAGATATGTACTACTAGGGCATCTATGTTATGGTATTAGTGTAGAGCAGGCCAAGATTCCCACTATACGAGCTTTCGATTGTTCGAGTACTTCGTTGCGAATGAGCGAGTCAGTATTCATCATGGGTCGCGAGTCAACGACCTGGAAGTTTCGGCGTTACTATGCTATAGAATCCTCGTCACAGGACATGAAATATCTTCCTGCAATATTGTACCCCATTCCGCTTGACCTGAACCATCACCACCTCAATATTCAAAGTCATCATCAGCACTCGGGCCCTTGCTTTTGCTGACACTCTCCTGCCTCTGGTACATCTCAGCAATCATGCGACTTGAGCTTGCTTGATCAGGCTTCTTGTCGTCTCTCTCCTTGATGAATCGGGGGAACCTCAGACTGACGCCCTTGCCGCCACCAGACACCTCATCTGCGGCAGCCCTGTAGCGTGGAGACAGGGTTAAATCGGCCGTCTTGACTTCCCAGACATAGCGCGGCTCAAACCAGACATCGGGCTGGTCTTTGTTGCCGGTAGAATGGGTATAGAAGGGTTTAGGGCGGTCGATAACGATCTCGGAGAGCGTCTTGTGGAGAGTCTCAAGAATAGCTTCCGAGAAACCGGTACCGATGTTGCAAACAGTCTCGTACTTCTCCGTCGAGGGGTTGTAGCAGGCGAGCAGGAAGGCGCCATACCAGCTTGTGCGCTTACCCTTGCCGTAATAGGCCCCCAGGACAACAAGATCCAGAGAGTCGCCCACGCCGGCAAGATAATCTTTCTTGACCTTGAGCCAGTTCTGCGAGCGCTTGGATGGCTCATAGTAGGACTCTGGTCCGTCCAGCATCTTTACCATGAGGCCTTCGCAGCCTTCCTTGACGGAGTCTTCAAGAAGAATTTGGATCTCTTCCAGCTCGTTGGTGTTGCCAAACTTGGCGAGTGCAAACTCTCCTTCAACAGGTATGAAGGCTTCATTGAGATGTTCACGACGCTCACGGAAAGACTTGGTCACGAGAGCCTGCGATTGTTAGCGACGATGCGGTAAGTAGAAATCAAGAAGCTTACCTCGCCGTTCAAGTAGAGGAGATCGAAAGCGAATACGCAGACCTTGACCTTCACGTCCTCGACCTTGACGTCTTTCCTCTTTCGCGTCATGAGCTGTTGGAATGGCAACACCTTCTTTTCCACCATGTCCCAAGCAACCGTCTCGCAATCAAGAACGAAGCTTTGGGTGCCTTCCTTGACCCAGGTAGGCAGCTTGGCCAGAATATCAGGGTACTTTTTGGACAAGTCTTCCGAGTTTCGTGAGAAGATATTTGAAACACCACGGTCGCTCTTGCCGGCTGTAGGAGCAGCAGTCGCCAGCTCCATTTTTGCGTCGTGAGAGACAAAGTGTATTTGAGCACGCTCGCCGTCGTATTTGTACTCGCACGTGAAGTCCTTGCCTTCAAAACGATCCAAAACTTCTGTGATTGACTTTGTTGGTTTGGCAAGCATAGGTTTGAGCGGTACACCAGGCTGCAGGCGACAGTTCTCTCGTAGGTTCATGATACCGTGCTCAAGCATAGCGGGTATGATGACTTCGTAGCTGGGAAGCTCACTGTAGACGGTCTTCAGCGTGGCCTCGGCCTTTGCCAAGTCTTCAGTCGATGTCGTCTTGCCCTTCTGTGACATCTCGTGGAAGATCATAGCTTGCGCGACAGCGACTACCACAGTCTTCTCAGCAAGACCCAATCGAAGCTTTCCCTCTAGTGTCCGGACGATGAACTTGGCTTCGCTAGGTCCACCCTTGTCCTTTTCAATGTCAACATGCTTGCCCGAGTTGTGCGCATCAGCTGCCGATAGAAGCTTCTTGATACCGTCCACCTTTCGTCCTTGAGCACCTTGTCCTTCAACAGTAGCAATCCCCATGAGGCCCTTGCGTACGCCTTCTATTGTCAAAGCCTTGGGCTTGAACATGGTAGGCTGTTTGGATCGACTCTTCGCTGCAACAAGTCCAAGATCACCAATCTCGTTCTGGTCGCTCTTGATCTGTTGTAGGTTTCGACCAGTACTCTCGGAGACAGCCTTCATGATCAGAGACTCGCCGATACCGAGCTCGATGCCTGCGTAGTCGGCTGCGAGCTTGTTCACCATGAGCATGACGGTTGGGAGCATGTCAGATGGTGTCAGTCGCAAGACTTGGCGGAGGAAGAGCGAGCAGTGGGCGAGAATCTCCAGGCGCTTCGTCGTCATTTCGATCTTTGAAAACGTTGTGCAGAGTGCGGCGTATGGCACTGGCTCACCCGGTTTCCAGTCAGGATATGGGTCCTTGGTGTTGGACGAAAGCGTTGTCTGAACCTTCTTCCTCGCCTTGGTCTTGACCTCTTCTGGCTCCTCTTCGGAG